ACACCGAGCAGGTTCTGTTTTGGCTGATTTTGCAGTATGAGGACTACGGGTAGCATAAATTGTAGTGTGTGAAACTATTAACCGAGTTAGATTATACGAAGTTTTATACAATTAAAATATGAAATGATGATAAGAAGATATAGAGTTATAGACTGTATAATATAAGATGAAGCAAAGAGAACCATAAAGTATGCAAAGAGAACTATAAAGTACGCATAGATGACTGAAAGTGGTAAAAGTAAAGAGAGAAGATAGACTGAAAGAATAGAAAGAAAGGATCAACAAGAAGATGACAAAATAAATGAAAACTACAATCTGAAAAAGAAAGAAGAAAGAACATGGGAAGATGACGAGGAAGAAGAAACCTTAATGGTTGCTAGCTTCAATGGGTTGATTGTTGATTTGTTGGATGCGGTTGGAGCGCTGAACAGGTTGTGCGAGTAGAGCATAGGAGAGTAATGATGAAAACGCGCGATAGAAGGCTGTTACCGTAACTTAGAAGGGTTTAACATGGGTTTAAGTTGTTTTGACCTATTATTTGAATAGCGCTAAACATGGGTAGCACCTTATAATTCCTCAGGCGCAAGAAGAGCTGAGGCGCACGCTTGTCACGCCTGTGCTGGGAAATGCTTCTCAACTTATTTTTGAATGGCCCACGTTTCTTCTTTGTCTTCATCCTCTTGTTTAATTCAATTTTTCATTCTTTCTTATTTTCTATATTTTTCGGTATTGTCTATTTGTTCTTGCTCGAATTCTATCCTTTCATTAAAAAAAATTGACACCTTTATCTCTAATTTTCTTCTTCTGCTTTATATCTTCTCCTAACAAGTTCTTTTCTTTTATTTTTAGTCCTTCCATTCTTAGCCATGTTCCGAGTGTAGCAGCTGCATCAGAAACTAGGCATGCCCCACGCCCCGCCCACGGGATGCCCTCCACTATCCACTGGTTTGCCCCACTTTCCCCATGGCCTGCTCTCCCCTCCACTTTCCCCAGGGCCTGCTCTCCCCTCCACTTTCCCCAGGGCCTGCACCCAATTCCCCGTGGACTGCCCCCCTGCTCCCTTCACCCCAGGATCTGGCCCACACAAACTCAAATTGCATACAAGCAATGGTTTTTAATGGAGTAATCCCCTTCCTTCTTCTCCCTCTTTGTCTTCCATCTTCCTCTTCCATCTTTTTCTCATTTATTATCAAACCATCGTAACACATGCGAACTATGAAATGGAGTAACTTTATGTGTATGTACTAGTATGTATATACTCTGCATATATACGAATATATCGGCTAGACAATAATAGATGGGGACCTGGTAACGTACTGTTCGTCTACGCAAGGTAGTGCAACTTTGGGAGTTCTATGCTTTTGTCTTCTTCGTAAGAGTCTGGGTCTCTAGACTCTGCATCTTGACGGTCTTCTAAAATTACTATGCTTTGTTTCTAATTAAAACCCTAAAGCCTTAAATCGGCGATTGCGGTTAGACTCGCCAAAACAGCGCCTTATCGCCAAAGCACGCCTGGACGACGATTGGACGACGCCATGATCGCCTTCTCTTCTTCTGGCGAGGAGAGGGAACCCGGCAACCACTCCAGAGCACCAGGACGCCTAGTCGTTGACTAGACAATGCCTAGACGACGCCGTAACAAGTATGCCACTACCAAAGAGAATTGAAAGTAAAGACACTTTTCTCCAATGAAAGTGAAAGGTTTAATTCCAACCAATCAACAAAAAGGACATATATTAAGAAACAAATTTTACTCAGGGGTTCCCTTTTCTTATGGGAAAATATTTTCCTAGAATATGTTTCCTGATTTCCTATGTTTGGCACATGATAATACTATCCAAGAAAACATTTTCTGGATTATAGCGCGCCCTTTCTTTCCAAAAAATAATTTCAGTGTTTAGCAACATAAAATTCCCCCCCCCCCCTCCCGATCTTTTGATACTTTGTGCAAAATGTTTTCCTGTTTTGAACAGGGAAGTAACTTTCCTGAAACAATTTCTTGGGCCAAACATTATATTTTAAATAGAGCAACTTAATTTCCACGCAAAACAGATTGCGGGACAAAAAAATTTCCTGGAAATAAACAGAGCCTTAAGTGACAAATATTTGGAAGAGAAGAAGTCATGATCCATGAGCCTATGTTTGGAAACAACCAAGTTACCATAGCTGGGCAACATGCATAAAGTCGCACAGATATGAATGGAAGAAGGAAGAGAACCTTGTCAGCTTCTTTTATTGTTCCTGGTAGAACAACACCTTTAGATTTTGCCCATGCTCGTGCACCTTCACCAACCAAAAACCTACAGAAGTGTTGGTAAGCTCATTTCGGACACACAGACACACACAATATGTTATCTCTAGCTAAGTCATCCTAATTCGGGCTTATTTGCTCTTTTTCCCTAAAAGAATAAATCAGGGAACGTATTTGGCGAATATGTTTAACAATTTCGATTAAAAAAAGGTTAGAACATATTCGGCAAATATATTCATGTACTTACATATAAAAACAGTCCAATGCATTGTTTATCCCATGCAACCTTTCAAAAACAATTATACAATACTATCTACTGAAATGAAAATTTATATATTGTGAATTGAAATATTTATTGAAATGATAAGAAAAACGAGTTTTTTCCGGAATAATGCTAATTAAATAAATTATTCCTGAAATACTGCCGGGTTAAGAATAATTCCCAAAATACTCCTGGAATTAACCACGGCTAAGGAAAGCCGCCACTCCAAGTAGCGGCTCTTGTATTACTTCACAAAAGCCGCCACCCCGAGTGGCGGCTCTTCTCTTATAGTACAAAAGCCGCCACTTCAAGTGGCAGCTCTTCTCTTACGTCCCATTTTGTACATATATAAAACGCAGTATGTTTTAAGAATTTGTTTAACTGCCTTTCCGATTGAATTTTGAGCTGAAATTTGGTATGAATAAACTAGACTTGATGAGGAACATGCTCAAAAAAATCATCAAAAAATTCCACCGGAAAAACCCTCTGATGGTGTTGTCCGCGGGGGGTTCCGGTGAGGACGTCATGACAAAAGGGTGGTCCGGCCACCTCAACTTGAGGTGATTCCCGGTGGGATGTTTTGCTGAATTTTTTTGTGTATGTTATTCATCAAGTCTAGTTATTCCATATCAAATTTCAGGACCAATCTCAATTGGGAAAGCAGTCAAATGATTTATTAAAGATAACTGCATTTTATATGTATAATTCGGCGTAGTTATCTTTCAAAAATCATTTGACAGCCTTTCGGATTAAATGTTTTGTTAAAATTTGGTATGAATGAACTAGACTTTATCTCTACAAACTAATAAAGGTGAATGAAGGTTGACCTGTATTGGGTATAGATTTTTTGTTGGTAGTCCTATGAGTTGTGTTGACATGTACATTATGCTTAAATGTTGGTAAACTTTTCAATTAGTCTGCCTTATATCTCCCGTACAGTGTGCTGACTTCGCTACCTCCATTATTACCCTTCCGTTTGTGATTCCCACCGGCCCAACTTTAGCCGCATACGCTGAGCCGCACACGCAGGTTCCTTCTCTTGCTCTATCTCGATTCGCGCTCTTCGGTCGCGCAGGTTTACGTCGCTCATCCCTTCGCCTTCCTTGTAGGTGATTATTCATTAATGTCACATTTATCTCCTTGTAACTGCAAATCGATCCTCTCCTCTGCAGTGCGGGTTATGGAATTTCAATTGGCACGCCCAACCTCGATCCTTCCCTCCCATGGCCCTATAAATGCATCTTATTCAATTGGCAGAGGATTTTCACCAACTGCACTCACTTTCCCGGTATGTCTTATGTCCATGTTTGAGTTTGTACTTCCTTTCTTTCCGTCTGTGCTTTGAAGTCCTTGTTCATGAAGTCTTTGTTCTTGGATTTGACAAAGTATTTATGTGTACTCTTGAATTATATTATACTTATATCTCCCAGTTTGTTGAATTCTATGTTTACGCTTTTGGCTCTTGGAGTTGTTGATTCTAGAGGTAAAGAAAGGGAATTAGGTGTTTGTTAAATTGTCTAAACGAGATTCACTACACCTAACTAATTAATGGATGCTTTGATCATTTACCTCTTTTTTGTCAGTTTATAGAATTATATTTTTAGGGCCTTAGACCTTTGGCTCTTGGAGTTGTTGATTGCTAGAGAAAAAGAAAGGACATTAGGTGTTTGTTAAATTGTCTAAATGAGATTCATCACACTAATTTATGGATGTGTGTTCATGTTCTATGCCATGTATTCATGATTATAAAAATGTTAGTTTTTTTGTTTCTTTGAGTAGAAGTTATTTGCTTCTAGCGAATCCATATCTGGTTTAACCTATATATAATCTATATTTAAATGTATCTTTGTTAAATTATCGTCTCTAAACCTGTCAATAAAATCAATAATTTTTCAACCCTCAAACAGAGCAACAACCGAACAAATACGCAACCTGAAGGAAATTTTAGGGATGGGAATAAAAACTGCAAATTGATCACAAGGCCGGAGTTAGTTTTCCTCTTTATCTCAAAAACCCCTATGAAATCATAATATACTTTAAAAATAACCAGTGCCAAGAGTGAGTGGATGTCTTATTATTTCATACATAAATGAATGCTATGTTTATATAAGCAATTGGTGATTGGATAAATCAAAACATTTAACATATCTAAAAAACTCACATTTATTCTCCAAACTTTCTGAAGTCCATGACCTTTATTCTCTACACTTCTAAACAAAGTGTTGCTCTTCTAAAGGAAATTAAAGCTTCACTAAGCCAAAAGAGTTCTGAATCAATATAGCACTAAAAAAAAGCTTACACAATATCATTAAGTATTTAAGTTACTTTTGTAATGTATTATATATTGCTGAAAAGACGGAAACTACAACACATTAAAAGTCAAGTGAGTAAAAATATTAGTTATATACTAAAATTGGCTTGAGTTAAATTAAAAATTAGAGCAGAAAAATTATTGCCTATCATACCTCAAGAATCCACCAACCATCATATTCCACTTTAGCCTAAAGTCGTGGTTCAAAATTGTTGTTGTGTTCGATGATTTTATCTGGACGAATGATCCACACAAATATGATTAAGAGAACCACATTAATAATAGCTTTAATTCAATTAAAGCTATTAATGTACAATCTTTAATTCAATTAATAGACAGTTTCTTTTTTGTTAAATGTACTTCGAACCATTGCCAATTTGGGGATTCCACGAAGGAATGTCCCTATGAGTGCGAAGTTCATTTCTTTAGCCAAGGAGACAATTTCTTCTTCTGAAAAAGAAACTGTCGGCATTCCGTTGAGGCGTGAAGGCTGTTTTAAGGGAAAAGATGGGTTAGGCTGTTTGAGGATCTCCGCGAAAGATCTTGTGTGGTGGTTATTGTCTGTTTGTGGCTGTTTGTAGGAGTAGGTGCCTCTGGGGTTGACAGTTCGACCGGCGTTCACTGGTTGGGCCGGTGGGGATGAAAGAGTTGCTGCATAAGAGACTTTAAGAGGTGGTGCTGGGATTGAGCTGCGGTTTTGGGCTGACGTAGCTGTTGCTGCAGTTTCTGGAATGCTGGAGATGTTCTGGTTGTTCTTCGTCTGCTGCTGTGCCGGTTGGGTTCCAATCTGCTGCGTGCGTAGTTGAAATAAAAAAGAACATATGGAAATATCTAATAATTATTAAAAGAAATATGTAGAGGAAAGATATAATACAACATAGTAGTTCGAATACAATTAGATAGAGAGTATTGAGGAAGGGTGCAGACTGCAGAAGCATTTTTGCATTGATTTCTTTTGTTTGGGATTGCAAAAGTTGGTTGCTATTATTTTGCCATTAATAAGATTGCTTTCTCACTATTGTACTTATCTCCAATAAAATTTTGGAGTGTTTAATTACTAAAAAGGAGCTATTGTGTATTATTTGCTGAAGTAATACAAAAAATTGAAGCTTTAAGGAGTACTTTTCTCTTTAGTTTTTAGCAGCAGAGTGCTTAAACTCAGCAAATTCTGGTTAGAAATTACACTTTGTAGAGTCGTTCAATTCTACCAATCATTTAATATGGTTGGAGAAAAGAGCCTAAAAGGCTCAAAGTGTACTAAACAAAGCTCAAAAGCCCCCCTGGAAGATAAACACAACACTTGGCTTTACTACGGATCACAATCAAACCTAAGTTTAGGCAATTACCATCAACAAATTAAGACACTTTTTAGACCCTTTTTAAAAATGTTGGTATATTCATAAATGTATGTAGGTATATGACCCAGAGTGCCTCCAAATCCGCCAAATTCCTTAGGCGGCCTTGAACGAAAACTACATTATTTTCATCGTTATTTATGAAAAAAAAAGTATAAATGTGTTACTTCAAATGTTTACTTAAAACATTGTGTATGAAGAGATATTGAATCAAGCATGCAAAGATCCTACAACCAAATAGGTTAGTCCTACACATTTGTGCGAGTGTTTTCACTCCCTTAGTTTAGGGTATTGTGGGTATAAAATATTTGTTTGTGGTATTCTAAACTTATTATTTTACCTATTATTCTTTTCTTTAGTGATGTTATATAAGTTTATCTGTTGTATGTGAAGCACATGCCTTTTTTTAAATGTAGGTCAGAATTATTATTATTTTTCCCGAAAAAATGGGTTTCTTACATAGTGTTCTTTGTCCTGTATTCCCTCTAGGGCTGAGCAGATTGCAAACAATCTTGTGCAAGCATTGTACGTTTTTAAAGGTATGTCATTTTAACTTCAAATTTTACTACCTTTATTTTTATTACATAGCATGAGAATTTGAATGCATGATAGATGATTGGAATACATTATAAAAAAACAATCACTTTTACGGTAAATAAAAAAAACAGACTTAATGCTACTACAATTCTGGCTTTTACTTTTTCTCCTTGGAAAGTTGCTAACTGGCTATAAGTTAAGAAAGGAAAACTATGATGACTGAATTTGAGAAAAAAGGATGGTTGTATTGTCAAACTGCTCACTCTCTCTTGTGCTTCTTAGCTCCTGGACAATCTGAAAAATGGCCCTGCCATTTTCAAAGTACACATGATTTTTTAGGTGCTTTGTTTTGCAACCAACATGACGTTCAAACTCATAAGCATTTAGTGCGTTAGCATTTTATTCCTGATAGAAGGTAATGGACTTGAAACTAAAACCAATCAAAGCATCATGTTTTAGAAATAGAAAGATAGTTAAAAACTATTTATCTTAAGCGATAACAATGCGTTTATTGGTTTATAACAGTTATTCTATATGTTTTTTTCGTGTGATATTTTAAATTTACACTGGTATATTTCCACTTACTATCTATGAAGTAGCTTTTCAACAGAAAAACACAAAAGGTCACTTCAACAATTCTATGAAATTAGCTGAAATTTAGGATGTTTTATAAGTATCATTTGTGTTTTCTATAAATCTGAAAGGAACAACACTATTTATATTATCAGTTATTTTGTGTAAAATAGTCAATTTACAACAAAAAAAACTTGGATAGGCTGCCTAGGCAGTGTATTACAGTATACTAGCCTTACTAATGCTTAACAGCGCCTCCTGTCATTCAATACTTTGGTAAATCAGAGACAAAGTAAGAGGCCAGTCCCATACTAAATCATATCATGTGCCATACTTTGCGTCCATCTGTGTTATCCTCCAGATTGGGCATGCTTGTAAACACATACTTATCAAGCTACTGTACAAACTTATTTAAACTTAAATAAATAAGTTTTGATTGTTTTTAGTAGAATATCCATATTTTGTTTGTAAAATTTCAGGTATACAATTTAGTATACATGATATAAGCATGTAAGTAAGCTTTGAGAAAGTTCTGAATTGTGAACATTCTCAAGTTGACCTTCCAATTTTTTTTTTCCCACTTGATAGAAAGAATGAAAGAAACACAAGTCTTTTTGTTGTTAGATTACCTGGATTCATAGAGATTTGGGTGATTTTTAGAGTAGCAAACTCCTTTTCTACATACTGTCTGGAAAATGGAAGATTGAATAAACTCATTGTGTGTTAGAGGATTAATATAAACTGAGATTGAAGGCACACAACATCGATCATTAGGTTCAAATTCTAAAGTCTTAGTGGAACTTTCAGCTGACTTTATAAGAACTTAGGCCTAGGTAACGTTTTAAAAAAGAATTTAACAGCCAAATCTATTTTCTCTGCTAAAAATATCAAGGAATAAACAGATCATCAAATAATGTAATTTCAACTAAATCCCACACTTTCATCAAGGACAAACTACTTTTTATGTGATTCCAAATGAGATTACTATTTGAATGTGTAGTAGTGTCAGATTCTCTCCTACGTGTAGAGTTCCAAATCATTATTATTTTGGATAATGACTAGATAAGTCTAGGCGAGACCATTGCGTGGCATGTATAATAGTAATAAACCTTTCTGGCATTTAGAATTAATTAAATACCGTATGGAAAAAATAATATGCAAATTGATGTAAGTTCTTTAAAAAAATGATCTAAAATTACAATACCAACGTGAAAATTTTACACATACTTTATGCATTTTATTTTGGTACACTATTTGTGTGTATGTTGATGGGCATGTCTAAAGCGTGATTGAAGTAATAAATATGTAGTTTTTGGTTGTTAATATATAGCAAGCACATCATTGCGCTATAAACATGGAATTGCCCAACAATGACCCACCTGAATCGAGTGAAGCGGCAAAAAATCGAAAAAGAAGGGGGCGATATGCGTCAAATGAAGAACGACGCGCACAAATAAACTCACAGCGAAGAATTGCCTATGCAACAATGGACCCAGAAAAAAGCGCAAAATGCTAGACGAAGCCAATAAAAAACGTAGGGCCACATATCATGCGTCCAAAGCCTTATCCAACCAGCGTCTTCCCCTTGGTATGACGTTGACCGTATATTCACTCATACAAATGTCCTATTCCTTCAAAAACCTGATTCGTTTTTCTTTTCCTTTCCTCAAATGTATGTACTAAGATACACCACAACCAGCACATGTGCAAATTTTGTCAGCAAACAGCAGGGTGGCGAATTTGCCTGGTGATACAAGTGTCACACAACCCTTGATTCCCACATATAGCATGTCACATCCCTCAGAACCTTCTCTGCTTAAACAATGTCTACCGTGCCACCATTGTGGGGCCGTGCGCATTCAATATGAATCACCGAGATTTTGCTGCTCAGCTGGTCAAACCGTTTTGGTATCTAACAAGATTCCTCCAATCTTGAAACGATACTTCTATGATAATGATTCCGTAGCTCGCCAATTTAAGGCACGTGTACGCACTTACAACAACACATTTGCCTTCACATCTCTAGGCGTACACAACTACGACAGAGATTTGGCACGAAGGAATAAGGGCATATACACATTCAAGGTACATGGTCAAATGTATCACTTCATTAATGATTTGATACCTGACAGCGATCAACCTAAAAACCTGCAACTATATTTCTTTGATACGGATCACGAGGTCCAAAATAGAGTGGACGGGGCAGAAACTATGGATAGTAGCATCGTGAAGGACCTTATAACCGTTCTTGACAGCAACCCATATTCACAATTCTTTCGAAGCATTAGAGATGTATCCAACTTGGAAGATTGTAACATTATCATTCAATCAAACATAAAGGTGGATCAACGAGTTTACAACATGCCAACTGTGTCTCAAGTAGCAGCAATTTGGGTTGAAGAATCGGATGCTGGGGGTGAGAGTCATCGAGACATACGCGTGTACGCAAAAAGTGGAAGATCACATTCAGTGCAATACTACTACGGTTGTTATGATCCATTACAGTACCCACTCCTTTTTCCCTATGGTGAGAGCGGTTGGCACGCGGGAATACCAAAACTTCCCAAATAGGTTGGCCCACGCACCAAGTCACGACAACTGACCATGCAACCAACGAGTGTGACCTCAATAGACATGTTGTTTGAGAGAGAAGCTCAAAATAATGTTGCTGCTAACAAAAGGGACAATGTGTCATGTCGAGAGTATTATGCATACCACTTCCAAGTACGTCACAAAGATGAGTCTATCATTCTCCACTCCGACAGACTCTTCCAGCAATTTATTTTTGACATGTACATAAAAATAGAAACTCAAAGGTTGGATTACTTCAGAACCCAACAAAGAGATGTGTGAATAGAATGCCTCCAAGGCCTAATGGATAGCATAAGCGTTGGTGAAACAAAGGCATGCAATGTTGGGCAAAGAGTTATCCTACCTACATCTTTAATTGGGGGGCCGCGTGACATGCGCAAAAGGTACATGGATGTTATGGCACTTGTACAAAGGTATGGGAAGCCAGACATTTTCCTCACCATTACGTGTAATCCAAACTGGCTGGAAATCGAGGAATTACTGAAGCATTCCGACGAAGCCCAGAATAGGCCAGATTTGATTGCACGCGTGTTCCGTGCTAAAGTCGAAGAATTGAAAACAGAAATCATAAAGAAAAAAATATTTGGGGTTGTTGATGCATACACTAACGTGATTGAGTTTCAAAAACACGGCCTTCCGCATGCCCACTTTTTGATTATATTGCGAAAGCAATATAAACGGAGGACGGGTGATGAAATTGATGAAATCATTAGTGCTGAAATTCCCGATCCACAGCGTCACAGTTACTTACACTCTTTGGTCGCCAAACATATGATGCACAGCCCTTGTGGATAAATGAAACCCGAAAATCCATGCATGACAACCAAAGAGGGTGCACTACAGTGCAAAAGTAAATACCCAAGAGAATATTCAGATTCTACAAAAATGGGAGATAACGCATACCATATCTACAGATGCCGTATGAACTCCATAGTTGTCAGTGCACGTAAACACAAATTAGACAATAGGTGGGTTGTACCCTACAACCCATATCTATTAGCTAAATTTGATTGTCATATCAACGTGGAAGTTTGTGCGGGGATAAAGAGTGTGAAATATATATACAAATATATATACAAAGGGCATGATAGAATTGCTATTAACCTCTCAGCCGAAAATGACGCCAACGTAATTGATGAAATCGAGGAGTATCAAAAGGCACGATGGGTATCACCGCCCGAGGCAGCATGGAGAATCTACAGCTTTCCTCTCTCGGAAATTAAACCGCCTGTTATACACTTGCCGGTGCACTTAGAAAATTATCAATACATGAGATTTGACTAACGCCAAGACATAACGAAAATTGTAGATTCTGAACACAACTCTCAAACCATGCTTACTCAATTCTTTTCCATGAATCACTCCGATGAAACCGCCGCCAGGTTGAACCTCCTATACATCCACTTTCCCGAGTATTACGTATGGTCAACCAAAGATAAAAAGTGGCACCCAAGACAAAAATGGGAGGTTATAGGACGGCTTGTGAGTGTGAATCCAACCGAAGGGGAGAGGTACTATTTGAGAATTTTATTGATGAATGTCAAATCACCGCAGTCATATGAGCATATAAAAACAATTGGGCAATACACTGCTGTCACGTTTAGAGAAGCCGCCGAGAAACTTGGGTTGCTACAATGTAACCAAGACATTGAACACTGTCTTGAAGAGGCCACGTGTTGGCAAATGCCAACCACTTTTCGCAGGCTGTTTGCGACAGTCTTGGCTTTTTGTGATGTTGCTAACCCAAATTCGCTCTGGCTGCAGTTCAAGGCACACCTTTGCGAAGACCTGATCAGAACTTGTCCAGATGTATCTCAGGCGAAACACAAATGCCTACTGTATTTGAATGACCTTCTCTTGTGCCTGGGGAAAAATATCAATGACCTAGCAATTGTTTCATATCATGTTGGCATTACAAAAGAGCAACGAGTTCAAAAAGAAATCCTGGCAGAGAGAAGTCTGTTGCCAACGGATTCTGATATTGCCGCGATTGCAAAAATGAACACCGGCCAGAAGTCCGCATTCGACACTATAATCAAGCGTGTTTACTCTGACAAAGGTGGGACATTTTTTGTCGATGGCCCGGGGGGCACCGACAAGACTTTCCTGTATAGATGCCTTCTAGCAAAGGTCCGGTCAAATCGTGATATTGCCCTTGCCACAACAACTTCAGGAGTTGTTGCAACTCTATTGCCGGGCGGCCGAACAGCACATTCACTTTTCAAAATCCCAATTAATGTGGAAGACAAATTTGTTTGCAACACAGGAAAGCAAAGCGCAGAAGCATCATTAATACGTGATTGCAAACTAATTTTATGGGATGAGGCTACGATGGCAAATCAGAGAACTGTTGAGAATGTCGAGACGACTTTGCGGGATATCACAAATTGTGAAAAACTCTTTGGGGACAAGGTCGTGGTTTTTGGCGGGGCTTGGTCAATTCTCATGTCATATGGCCCTTCACTGAAAGGTTAGTCTTAACCGAAAACATGAGAGCGATATCCGATCCGGGCTTCAGTGATTACTTAATGAGAGTAGGCAATGGAATTGAAACATATGTTTCCGAATCAACAATTGCTATTCCACATCATTTTCTCATTCCCTACATCGGCGATGAAGAGTCCTTGAATGCACTAATACACCATGTGTATCCTGATATGTCAAAGTTTTGTGACGACCCGTACCCACTGATGCGCCGGGGTATCCTTACCCCAAAAAATGAGTACGTCGAAAACTTGAATGGCATATTAATCCATCGATTGCCCGGGGAAGAGTGGTGCTACGTTAGTTACGATGAGTTGCTCGATTCCAGCACATACAATGGATACGGTGATTTCCTAAACACCATTTGCCTACCAAGTTTACCCCCCATAAATTGGTACTGAAGAAAAACTGTCCATTGATTTTGCTTAGGAAACTAAACCCGGTAGAGGGCCTATGCAACGGCACACGTTTGATATGCCACGAATTTCGTGACCATGTCATTAGTTGTTCCATAGCATCCGGTGAACATGTGGGAAAACATGTGTTCCTGCCAAAAATACCTCTTCAACCATCAAGCGATGACAATTGTCCCATACCATTTAAGCGTCATCAATTTCCTATCAAAGTATGCTTTGCCATGACGATAAATAAGTCTCAAGGGCAAACATTTGACTACATCGGCGTATACCTAAGGGAACCAGTTTTCTCGCACGGCCAACTGTACGTTGCAATGTCAAGAGCGCAACGAGTAGCATGTTTGAAAATACTTATATGCAACAAAGATCGTCCATGCGAACCAAATTGGACACATAATATAGTGTATCAAGAAATATTAAATAGTGCTACCCACTGTACAGTGAACAAAGGTGAACCATACAAATTACAATCACATTTTCCCCATATTCATTTATATCTATGTATATACACACATATCTTTACGTTAACCAAATACGTATTCTATTTTCAGGACCTATTAAATGGCAACAATGCACCGATTAGTTGATGTGACGCCTGAAACACCCATGTGGACATATGAGGTTCGTGTTGCTCATAAGTCTGCACCTAAGCATAACCCAACAACCGGGAAGAGACACCTACATATGTTCCTTGAGGATAAGGAAGTAAGCCATATCTTATATACTGCTTAATTGCTTATGATTGTAAATATACCAAATGTAAATGCTTCTTCCTCGCTGCACTGCCACGTACTTTACAAAATTTTCATGAAAAATTACTCCGCATTTACTTTTTATGAAATATGATTACTTTTTGAGATAGCTACAAACTTCCTATTTAAATTTAATACAGAGTTTTTAATTTTCCAAAAAATAAACAAACACTCATATTGGAGTTTTATTCTTACACGTTTCTTAAAGAATCCATAAAAAAGAGAGAATCACTACATGATTTTAAATATATAATTCGTACATTTCATACTTCATTACACATATGATCAATTTGAACAACAAGTTGAACAAATTTTATACAGGAGTTCAACATCGAGAATTACGAGGTCTAGAACATAGAGAATTAGGAAGTTTACTTCAGCCAAAAAACTACTCCCCGATTCTTTAATGAGTGTTAATTGGTTCTACCTCCAATTTAGACACATATCACACCATAATTTTAAAATTAAGTATGGCTGCAAAATAGGCAAAGTGGAGTAATTTTGTTAGGGACAATAGGCTTAGTGAGGCCAAACAATGTTGTTTCTGGTGTACATTTATGTAGCAGTAAGCCAGCATCCCTCTCCGGGTGTGAACCTGATCTGAGTTTCTACACTATTAAACTTTTATCCTTCTTACTATTCTAAAACATATTTGAAAAATTATTAATTTAAACTATTTAAATAACCATGGCTGCATGGTGCTCACCATGCACCGGTTGTATGGTATAGCTACTCGAGTTACTCTATTTGTTGTACCCGTTTGGAATCTTGGATACTACATCAACTCATTGGGTGCTTTCAATGAAGCTCGCTTCTATTTAAGGTTCCACTATTAGTTCCCCTAATAAAAAAATTAGACAGCAGAAATAAATTGCAAATGAGTGGGGAATCAAAAAATTAGACGACAGAATGTGATGAAATTTAGCTAAAAGAATATAGCTTTGAAAAGGTGAATATTTTGTTATACACACACTGTTTGAACCGAGCACAATATGTTTTTGACAGGAGATCAGAGTCTTGCCGCAACCATCTGCCCTAAACCATTACCAATATTTTTCCTGTGATTTTAAAGTATTTGCTTGAATATCAAATGTTAAAGAAAGGCCATTATGAAATGTCCATGGATTTATGGTTGATCACTAAATAATTACTATCATTGTTTCTGCATGTTCTTTTAAAGTATTGTTTTTCATATCATTTGTTAAAAAAGGCCATTATGAAATGTCCATGTTATGTTTTTGTGAATTTTAATGCTTAAAACATTTTCAGGGCATACGCATCTCAGCCATGGTATTTAACCATGGCGTAGAGATGTATGATATGACTATGAAGCTCAATTCGTCTTATCACATCTTGAACGCTAATGTTCGCGTACCACAGAACTCCTACAAAGTGCCAGATATGAGGTATGGGTTCACATGGGTTCTCAATCGTAGAACAGCTATTCAACCATGTGAAAATGCAAATGAAGCTGAAGTTTTTGAGACTAAAAGGCTCTCCACATTCAGTGACCTATATCAGCACATGAAGACTGGGCAGCACATATGTAAGCAACATTGCCTGTATACACAAATATCACGCACTCACGTTAAACAAGTTGAAATATATATTACAACTTACAAGGTTAAAATTCCTTACTTTACGTATTATTACAAAATTGTATATTTAAATCTATTTATATCATTGTTAATATTGTAGCAATGATTGTTGTTGTAATTGATAAACTTCCAAGAGAAACCCAGTCCACTTCAAATGGTGTCCGGACTATCAAGGATTTCATTGTGGTTGATGAACTGTAAGTATGACCTATGATTAATCTTATTATATTGTTGAAGTTATTTGCAACATCATGCACTCATACAAATTCATCACAATTCCAACAGACTGAAACCGGTGCAATTCACACTTTGGGATGAGTTGGCGCTAACTAAGGGAGTTGAAATCTTTGATGAACTAACTGAAAAAAAGTATCCTATAGTGAACCTAGAAGACATTAAGGTTACCGACTTCAAAGGTACTATTATAACCCTATAACGTATATTGCATATTCGCACCAAATACTAATTTTGCTCTTGATACATAGGGATATCTTCGACTTCAATGTCTCATTCAACAGTCACTCTCAATTCCGATTTGCCTCGTGTTGCAGAATTGGAGAAATGGTAATGTCTACCTTCTGTAATTATATGGTAATCATATAAGGTTCTAAGTGTTCTTTAATTTGGTGCTTTTTATTGGTCATCATTATGGATCTCTTTATGAAAATTGTTCTAGGGATCCTAATCATGTTGAATATACATTAAATACAATATGGATGCTAATTACATAGTTTACTTTGCAGAATCTTCCTCTATTGATTCTTTTTACATACATAAGGGCTTCTTCCATAGTCTTTTCATTCTGCATACTCAGAACCATTCTGGGTTCAATGAGCTGCCGAACTATGATAATTTATTTATTTATGAATTTATATAATATTTTGGAGAAAAAACTAATACGCTCATAAATCAGGACAGTGAATAAGTTATAGTCTCATGATTAATACTCACTTATACCAAGTTATTTTTCAATACAAAAATAATAATTTCTTTGACTCAATAAGCTAGGTCACACTGTTTTTTATCCAGTTTTGGTTCTTTCACAAATTTTGAGAACTTAGAGTCTTTCTATTGTCAGACAGCCTCAATGAGATATAAACACATTCTGTCTCATATGCAATGAAAGATAGAGGAATGTTTGTGTTTGATTCTTATTAGGAGAAGTGATTTAATTGAGAGATTATACAAAGTGATTAATAATAAAGTTGGTGATGTGAGAAAATAAAGTGATTTCAAGATAATATTACAAGTTAATGTTTGATGATAAATACATTTTTATGTAATACAAAAGGTGAATATGAGATGAAAAATGTTTCAAAAATATAAATAATTTAGAAAAAAAGGTTTTGTTGTTAAATTCTTCTAATAAATTGTTGAGCGTGAATATGCACACCACTCTTTCCCCTTTTAACGTTACGGGAATTTGTTGTATCTACATATATGCTTATAACAAGTGAATGATTAAGATCAACCTACGTGTAGGGCTATTGACCACAAGTCCACCCTCGATGCTATGAAGGTTGGCCGTGAGTTCTTGGATGCTGGCTTCCACCAAGCAAATCCTGACAACAAAACAATCACTCATTAATAGCTAAAGTCTCTGCTATCATTCCTCAAGTATGTTGCTATTATATACTTAATTCCTCCCAATGCCTATATGACATGTTTTTTCTAATAACCATTTACACTGTAAAAAACATTGACGGCGTATGAAATAAATCACCCAATAATTTATGTAACCCATGATATAAATTACTTCAAATCCATTACATTTCTGTGGCTTATCCATTCTAATTTGTGTAATCCATAAACACTAACAGGGAAGACCTATTTGGATCAAAGGCACAATCACTTTGGTTTTAGAATACTATAGCCTCTGGTATGTTGCTTATAACCATTGTGCCAAATTAAAATATGCTGGTTGTGACGCAATATTTCACTGCATGAATTGTGGTCAACAACATGCTTATGGCGTTCCAAGGCAAGTACGCCACTTGTATTACACCATACAACATAAGTATACGTCATTTTCCTCAAAAAATCATATTATATATCCTTCGCGCATGGCCAAATTACATGTCACAATCGAAGATGAGACAAGATCTGTCAGTGGAATAATGTTTGGCTTGTGCGCTGAAAAGTTATTGCTTATGACAAGCAGGCAAGTCATGTAAATAGAATCACATGTAACATCATCCACAATACCACCCAATTAATTTATCGTTTAATGAAACCAAATATATTTGTTTTTTGAATTTGTTTTTTGCATTTGTTTACTATTGCCAAAAACATTAACTACATTGTAAAATTAATTAAAAATGTCACCCAAAGCTTTATTCGCCAACTCTATGCCATAGATTTTTTAACAAAATCATCAAATGAAGCATAATCTCTTATGGAATTTGGGTCCTGTAGAAATATGAATAGTATACACATTGTCATTTGTCAAAGTCTAATTTTCTACTAGATTTAAATGCTATATGAAACCACTCATTGAAATTCTTTTGTACTTGGTAGGGGAAAAAAGCTTCATTCCCATACATAAACAAGCGCCTTGCTAAGGAAGAGTACATAGTCCAGTTGAGGTCTTCGCAAGACAATTGGAGTTCAAAAACCAACTATCCTCGTAGTTCAAAGACATCTTATATCATAACATCTTTGCACGAGTCTTCATTGCACATAATAAATATGGATGCAGCAAATGCTGCCGATCACACTGCACCCGGTGAAAGCACAGGCACTTCAAGACCTCCAATGAAACGCATCAAAACAGTGTGACGGAGAGTACACAACCATCCAAACCATTCCACGACTCATCAAACTGTGTTATTACATTCAAATACTTTCATTTTTGCAGTACTATGTTCCATTTTGATTTTTGAATGTTATCGCTCCTGCAACCATAAACCTATTTTCCCATTACACACTACTAAGCTTGTTTCCATGATACAATATTATGTCTATTTCTTCTCACTTTAATAAATTACACACTAGTAATGCAATCATAAAATTTTCATTATTCTATTTGGGAGTTCTATTTCAATGTTATTTCAAAAGGGAATGCATGTTGTACACACACTGCCACACAAACATTGGGGTTGTTTGGTAAACGGCTTATCAGCCGTTTTTTAGCTTGTTTGACTCAAAATAGATGTTTGACTAGGTTAAAAAGCCAAAAATGTTGTTTGGTAATCAGCTTGTCCATTCGACTTATCGATGCGAAGAAGCCGATTTTTGAAACGTCAGACCACCCAGCGTTTAGGTTTTATTTCGGCTTATCCAATTTTTTTTTGCCGTCTATACCCTGCTGTGCATCTCCATTTTCTCAGTCGTCTTTCTTCTTCGCCAAATAACAAAGGTACGTAACTTTCTTGCGTGATTTTTCTTCTGATTTTTTCCCCAATTTTTTTTAATTTCCGATTAGTTTAATTGCCTTTCTTCTTCTTCTTCTTCTTCTTCTTCTGATTTTTCCCCATTCTTTGTAGTATATCAGAAAACAATAAGCTACCAAAATCAGAGAAAGGGTCAAGGAAGAAAGATCTTCATTACTTCCCAAGACTTCAGCCCAGGTATTCCGAAAATGGAACCAGTCCTATATATATAAACTTTATTTGAACAAAAAATGTCTTTTTTTAGATTGTGTATTTTATATTGATTTTGATTTATAAGCTTCATATGTTGGTGATTTCTGTTGACTTCATATGTTTGAGTGAGCTAACTTTGCAAGTGTATTATTGTTGTGAATATTGGGCAGCTTGGTGTTTGTGGATTTCTTTGTAAGTTTCTGATTTCCTACTTGCCCAAAAGGTGTTTGTTAAAATGCTTGTGAGGAAGTAGTTTGTTGTTTGGTTCCATCTGCTGCACTTTTACACTCACAGGGGTGCTTGTGAGTTTTTTCTTTGAGAATCAACTTTAGAGCAGAGAACTTAAGTGGTAAATAGCCTGCCTAATTAACCATCCCAAGCATGAGGTTTATTGTTTATTTTAGCTTTTTAAGTCATGTAATCAAGAAGGTAGGGGAATGGACTGTATAGACCGTGGCATAGCAGGGGGAGAAGAACACTTAAAAGCTATGGATGATTTAGTTGCCATATCATTAAAATGCATTCGTCCAGTTAACAAAAGGCCTAGCATCAGACAAGTCCTTGATGATCTGAGTTCCATTTGTGTGTGATGAAGCTGTGTTTTATTTTGTACATGTGTATGTGATTTGTCTCTTGGGTTGTGGTGGTAATTCTTTCTCATGAGTTTTATTTTTTAAACCAATTGGTTGGTTCAGTTGCCGTTTAATAGTAAAAAAAAGCTTTTTAAGTCCTCCTCTCTATACTTTTTAGGATTAGCCAAAACATATTTAGTGGGCTGATCTGGACCTTTTCAATATGGGGTCTTAATCTTTATTATATGGGGTAGTGTCTTATTAAGTTAATAATTAATGATAAGTGAACAATGGTTATGTGTAATAGTTCAATTGATAGAAAATGTTTGTAAATGTTATTTCTGTTTTAATATGTTTAATAGTATCTTTTCGTATTGTATTTGGTTTATTAAAGTGCTTGTAAATTGATATTTGTAATGGAAATATAAAGTACTGGGGGTTATATGCAATAGTTCAGAACCTAAGATTGTTACATGGCTGTTTTTTTGTACTATATGCCATTTTATTGCTGTTTCTTTTTCAACCATTCAGTAATATTGTGACTTAGTTGTTTTAGTTTGTTACGTTCCATGTTTATTTGGAAAAACTTTAGACCTCTCTCAGTTGAAAACTTTACTTATTTTAAGTTTAGTTTAGTTTACAACACATTTTTAAGGTAATAATTCTCTTGCTACATTGTTAGCTATACTTTTATTTCTTTCAGTTATAACATTTTTTAAAATATCTATAATTTGTTATTTTGAGTTTTAGATGGCTCCTCTACGAAAGAAAAGTATAGATGATTCTCAAAGCGGTGAACATGATAATACAATTGAAAACAAAGCCGGACGAGTTACTTGGTCAAAAAACTCACTTCACGTCCTTTGTGATCTTTGTATTAAGCATGTTGAAAAAAGTAAAGGAAAAAATGGTGGAGTTGTATCTCAAAGATTGGTGTGGAAGAAAATTGAGTTGGATTTTCTAAAGGAGACTAAGTTACCATGGGATAAAATGAAATTGAAAAACAAGCTTGATTCGATGAAAAAAGGGTGGAGCTTGTGGAAACAATTGAAGGGAAAAGAAACAGGCTTGGGATGGGATCATGTGAAGGGAACTATAAGTGCTTCTAGTGATTGGTGGGCTTTCAAAATACAGGTTGGTTCTATTTAGTCAAATATGTTAGTACAATAGCTTGAATAGAAATACAACATTTGTTCATTTTTTTAATAGGAAAATTCTAAGTTTGAATCATTTCAAGACGAAGGGATTGAGCCCGAGCTTGAATACAAAATGGATCAAATCTTTGCAACGTCCGCCCAAGGAAATCTAAAGTACACTCCAGGAAATATCATCTCAGAAGAAGATTTGCATGTGGATGTTGATGATGTTTATACTCCTTCCCTACCTACTGATATTCATCATGATATGGGTGCTGGAGAGGAAGAGAATAATGAGGGTGGAAACTGTACAACTAATGCATCATGGGATGATTTGTGGAGTGAGCTTACCCCTACGTCTTTATCTCCTTCCGAGCATATCCCTCAGAGCTCACAAATTGAAAGAGATGAGAGAAGGAAAGGTAAGAGGCCACTTGAAGGTGATTCATCACAAAGCAGTAAAAGTGGCAAAACAAATCAAACAAAAAAAACAGGGATGGCGGCATTTCAAGAAATGTTTGGTGGCATGATGGAAGTGGTTTCGAAAAGGGGTGAATCAATCAACGAAATTACTAATTTAATGAAAGATATGATTAAAGCCAATTCAAGTAAGAACACTTCAGAATACAGTCTTGGAGAAGCAATGGCAAAACTGTGTTGCTTGGATGGTCTATCTACCACTTCTCCCGAGTTTTTCTTTGGTTGTTCAATGTTTGAAGATCCGCAACGACGGACAATTTTCTTTTGTTTACCGGATGACAATAGTAGGGTTGAGTACATCAAGTTTATGTACAATAAGTTAGGGAACTAAATTTGTTTGGATGTTTATGAGCTTTTACCTTAGACATTTAATTTTCTTATGCTCGTTGGAATGTTAATTTTTTCCTCTTTTAAACAATGTTGGAATATTGTGAACTTTAGATATCGTATTTTCTTATGTTATAATTTATATTATTTACTATATTATATTATTGCATATTGCATCATTTATTTTTACTTGTATACATGTAGGTATGGATAATGGCAATATGGAAATGGCACGACTTCTTTTATGCTTAGAGTATTTGAGCGAAGAAGAAGAATTCTTGGATATGGTTGCTTGTGTATCTACATGTCTTAGTTCCTATTTTGTGAACCATTTATACAAAGAGCCATGCATGACTTCGTATTTAACAGGAGAAATGTGGATCAATGAATTATTGAGTGGTCATGATAAAAGGTGTTTTAATGCCTTTAGAATGCATCAAGAAACATTTCGCCATTTATGCTTTGATCTAGAAAATAAGTATGGCTTAAGACCTTCATATAGGATGTCAGTTTTGGAGAAGGTTGGTTTATTTGTATTTGTACTAAGCAAAGGAGCTTCCAATAGAGATACTCAAGAGCGTTTTCAACATTCCGGTGAAACGGTGAGTAGAATTTTTAAGGAAGTCTTGAGCGCGATGGATGGATTTTCAAGAGATTTAATTGTACCAAAAGATCCAGAATTCAAGGATGTTCCAATACAAATTGGTAATGATGAAAGGTACATGCCTCATTTCAAGGTAAAGAATACAATACTGAGCACCTATCATTTTAAAATAATTCATTGTGTGTGTATATATCACAATTCTCTAATTCTTACTTTTTAATCCAGAATTGTATTGGAGCTATTGATGGTACACATATTGCAATAACGGTTCCTGAAGAGGAGCAATTGCGCTATAGGGGAAGGAAAGGGATACCGACTACAAATGTATTAGCAGTATGTGACTTTGATTTATTATTCACATATGTTTTAACAGGTTGGGAGGGGTCAGCTCATGATTCACGCATATTCTTAGACACAATCAACAATCCAGCTCTAAAATTTCCGAAGCCACCAAGCGGTAATTCCATACTTTTGTTTTGCTTCTCAACCAAGTCGTTCACATTTATGTATAATCTTCATACCAAAATTTTCATCATTGTAGGAAAGTATTATTTGGTGGATAAAGGTTATCCTGAAAGAGATGGATATTTAACTCCCTACCCCAAGACGAGGTACCATCAGTCAGAGTTCCGTGGTGCAAATCCGAAAGGAGTTCAAGAGATTTTTAATAGAGCACATTCCTCTTTAAGAAGTTGTATCGAGAGAGCTTTTGGTGTTCTTAAAGCTAGATGGAAGATATTGCAAAAAATGCCAAGATATTCACTAATGGATCAAAATAAGATAATTTGTTCGTGTTTTGCATTGCACAACTACATCAGAAGAAGCACAATAGTTGATCCAGGCTTTAAATTTATTGATGAGGATCCTGAATTCATACCTCTGGATGTATTTGAAGATGTTGAAGGGGGTGCTGCACAAGCTGATGCAAACATTCGAAGTCAAGAAATGAGAGTTATCCGTAATAATATATCTTCTAGCTTGATGGAAGCTAGACGCATTCATAAATAATTTTGACCATCTTTACTTTATTTTAAGCTAAACTAAGTATGACAAATGTTTGAGACGCAGTTTTACTTTTTATTAGTAGTAATGAATTGTTTGATACACATGATTATTCTTTTTCCTAATTGACGCTATTGATGTTTTTTAATTTGCAATATAAAGTCATCTTATTTCTTTCTAAAATATTTATTCGTTAATATTTATTATACTTTTATTTTAGAATTTAATTTATTCTTTTAACATTTCAAATAAAATACGGAGTATTGTTTTGCTTAAATAATTTATTTTGCAAATAAATTATAGTTTTAAACATTATCACTATTAGCATTACTCAAATATTATATATACACTCATGTCCTTATACGTCTTTTTACATTCAAACAGCTGTTCTATAACAGCTAATTTTACCAAACGTTTATTAACAACAAGCTAACATAACCAGCCAATCAAAACAGCTAACTCAACCAGCTATGATCAAACAGCTGACATAACCAGCTAACAGCTAAAGCTAACAGCCGATTGCCAAACAAGGCCATTATCATTTTCCCCTAGCATATATCCCAAGCACCCCTTCTTACACATTGGCCATTATCCCTATTATAAAAACACATTGGGCACAATCTCCATCGTGCACCGCACGTTGCGAAAACTAGTTAAGAACATACAAAAAATCATCAAAACATACCACCACGAAACACCTCAAATTGAGGTGGCCGGACCACCCTTTTGTCATGACGTCCTGACCGGAACCCCCGCGGACAACACCATCAGAGGGTGTTTCCGGTGGAATTTTTTAATGAATTGTTTTGAGCATGTTCCTCATCAAGTCTAGTTTATGAATACCAAATTTCAGCTCAAAATTCAATCGGGAAGGCAGTTAAAAAAATTCTTGAAACATACTGCGTTTTATATATGTACAAAATGGGACGTAAGAGAAGAGCCGCCACTTGAAGTGGCGGCTTTTGTACTATAAGAGAAGAGACGCCACTCGGAGTGGCCGTTTTGTGAATTAATACAAGAGCCGCCACTTGGAGTGGCGGTTTTCCTTGACCGTGGTTAATTCCAGCAGTATTTTGGGAATTATTCTTAACCTGACAGTATTTCGGGAATAATTTGTTTAATTAGCATCATTCCGGGAAAAAACTCAAGAAAAACTTGTTATTGAAAACTTAAAAAGTACAATTCTTTCATAATAAATATCTAAAAGCGCAAAAATATTAAAAATACATGAAATCATTGTTGTCCTATTCTTCTGCTTGGACGCATATCCATCTCATTTTGAAACCTTGTTTGTTGACGATGCCCCACTCGAGAAGGTCGTGATAAATATTTCGGCGGTAAAAGATGGATTCCAATATCCGGCCACTCATTCACATTTGGTAAAGGCATAATATCACCCGCATGTGCATTAATGTAAGAGCTAAGTTTATATACCTCCGGAATAAGTTGATCGATAGGGCGGTTGAGGAAGTGACACACAGCGTGAACGTGGCTGCATGGCATCTAATTCATCCTCTAGCACCCGCAATCACAGTCGTGCCTTGAAAAGTCTACCGTAACCGGAGTTGCATTTTCTATGGCTACTGAGAAAACTCCACTATGATGATTGTGCGGGATTACAACAGTGTGACGCCTTTGTTGTCATCGATCCATAATCTGCTTCCGGATTTTTTTCGGAAATTGATATCCACTTTGAATGCACATCATACTAGCATTACGTTGTTCTGCAAAGAGCTGAACAGATTTATCAAAAGTTGCTCTCACAAGTGTTGTAATTGGAAGCGTTCTACATCCTTTCAGTGCATGGTTAAAACTTTCATATAGATTGGTCGTTAAAATTCCATAACAACACCAACCATCAAAACAAAGTGCTCACTTCTCTTTAGGAATGGCACCAAGATAGTTGAATGCTCTTTCATTAGCATCCCGAATTTGTTGCATGTAATTAGTGAATTCATTTAGAATGAGGGTACTTCCCGCACGCCAACACAATTTTTTTAGATTCTTGCTATGAAATTGGGACATAAAATTACTTCGAATGTGTCGAAGACAATATCACCTCTGAATTAGAGGTGTTCTCGATTGTGGCACATTTCGGAACACACAATCAATAGCGACATGTCGGTCAAATATTATGCAAACATTCTGACACGGATGAATAATATTTGTCGCAACTAACTGTAAAAACCACGTCCAACTGTCCCCGTTTTCACTATCAACCACCCCAAAAGCTAGAGGAAAGATTTCACGGTTAGCATTCATCGCCACCGCGACCAACAAAGTGCCTTTGTACTTACCGTACAAATGTGTACCATCAATGGAAATGACTGGAAGACAGTGATTGAAACCATCAATCGTTGCTTTGATTGACCAAAATGCGTACTTAAATTCACGCGTACGTTGTGTAACGGTTGGATCTGTTCGTAGGTCGACAATGATGCCCGGATTACTAAATGCCATACCTTGTAAAAAGTTTTGGGAGATCGTTGTACGCTGCCTCCCAATTACCAAATCGTTTCTCCAATGCCAAGATTCGAGCATACCATGCTTTCTTGTAACCCACATGTGCAGTTGGGAATGCAATCGTGTTGCGGTTGATACTGGTTGACTTTCCACTGTGTGGTGTGTTTGATTTGTGATGCTTGAATATGCCACACACAAACGTCATCATATACACATTTTGCTCGCCAATAATTTATGTGTTTCGCCTCACTACAAAATGTTCGAAATTCTTCGAGGTTTTGAAGGGACACATCTTCCTTCAACTCTTCGGACGTATCATATACTCTACCCACATGTATGGGTCGTTCTTCACGATATGTGGGTTCAACGAACTCCTCCTCATCCTCATCCTCGTCCTCGTTTGGGTTATCATCACTGTCTTCGGAACTGCTCTCGTGTTCACAAAAGGAAGGAGCGTTATAATTAGGATCATCGTCACTATCTGAAGCATCATGGGGGACATTGATGTCAATCATTGTAACACCTCGGCCCCACAGACCCCGATGTAGTTACTTCTGACCTCTAGTATTGTCTTCACAAACCGCCACTAGCCTTCTCCGCGCACTTTGCCCTCACTCGTGTGCGCTCTGAGAAACTTCCCAGGGGGTCACCCATCCCAAGACTACTCACGTGCAAGCACGCTTAACTTTGGAGTTCTTCGCTAATGAGCTCCCTTAAAAGGAGATGCACCTTGTTGGTATGAGTAGTACTATTAATCTATTTAAATTAAAGCTCAAGTATTACAATCACCCCCACTTAGGAACGCAACGTCCTCGTTGCGCCCATAAACCAATCTCAATCATATCCCAGAATCGTTTCCCCTGCTAAGTGTCCGTCCGATATCTAACGGATCAGCACACTGTCACAGGGTTGCTCTGATACCATTTCTAACACCTCGGCCCTGCAGGCCCCGAGGTAGTTACTTCGGGCCTCTAGTACTGTCCTCACAAACCGCCACTAGCCTTCTCCGCGCACTTTGTCCTCACTCGTGCACGCCCTGAGAAACTTCCTAGGGGGTCACCCATCCCAAGACTACTCCCGTGCAAACACACTTAACTTTGGATTTCTTGGCTAATGAGCTCCCTTAAAAGGAGATGCACCTTGTTGGTATGAGTAGTACTATTAATCCATTTATATTAAATCTCAAGTATTACAATCATTGACCGGGAAGTGCCTTGGTTGGGAGGACGCATAGAAGTTCGTTGTTGAGATGAAACCCCCGTTTGCATCTTTTCGGCATTGATGTATATCTCCAATCATTCGTATTCATTGCGAGCAAATTGTAGAAAATAGATCCATGACTGGTCATCATGGATAGGCCACAGCATGGAGGCAACACGTATTCCCTCGGAATTATATGTGAGAAATTTTCCATGAATGGTTCTCATATCATATAAACCTTCATGGGATATTTCTTGCATAATGCGCTCACATAGTGTTGCATATGTAGTATGATCACTTAAAAAAGTGCAGCATTTGGATACGTAGAGTAATTGACTTCATTATTAATTTCAGTCAACACCTCATTCCAATGCACAAGAACAACTATGCTACCCTCACTAGACATGTTATACTAATACTTTGTAGATATAATAATAGAGAGAAAGAAGTTTGTTTGAATGGTGAAAATGAGTGTGGTGGAGCTCCCTATTTATAGTATAATAGTTGTGGAGGTGGATGTGGTAGTTGAGATAAATAAAGTAGTTGTGGAGGTGAAGTAAATAAAGTAGATGAGTTGAATGTGGTAGTTGAGATTAATAGAGTAGTTGTGGGTGGTTAAAATAATTAGAGTACATGACGGAGGGATATTATTAAACTAATATTCTTGCTTCAATAAAATATTATGACACTAATTTCATTACATGATGGAGGGATACTATTTCATATGAATATTATGACAATAACATTCAGTTTATTTCACAAAGATATTACTTCTTCTGTCTCTTTTTAGTTGCAAAAGTCAACATTTCACGTTTGCCAACGCACAACTTTGACCGTCATTATATTTAATTCTGTATTAGTAAAAATAAAATAAAAATTAGATTATAAAACTTAGTAATGAGACGAATTTAACAACATTTTTCAAAAAAAATAATTCACATACATTTATATATAAAATGTAGTCAACATAAAGTACATGAATACTATATATATTCCAATGTTGCAATTAATGAGATACAGAGTAGTATTACATTAATATTAATACTATTACACTAATACTCATATTATAAACTAATATTGTGAGCTCGGCCCTGCACCGCCGGTCGCTCCACTGAAGTGATCATTGCCAAATAAATCAGCCCAATTAAAATCGGCCCACTACTGATGTTCGGGAACTTCATGTGCGTGATAGGAACTACCAACCGTGGATGGGAGCTCCATGGGTGTATCATGATATGTATCATCATCATGTAACCCATATCTCGTGGGTCTGCTCAGTTGGCCATGACCATCGGGTGATGCATGTCCTTCATCAACATTTTGAAATGTGATTATGTCGTGATTCATCACTTCTTTTGCGCCTATTTGCCTTAGACAATTCCCGATTCGCTCCAGCATCGGATAATCTCGAGGGTCACCTCTGTCACGCATTTTCCGAGCAACTTCTTCCAAACATTGAGTCTATAATATAAATTTATACAATTAATATTGTAAATTATTACATTACTTGAGAATACTAAACACTCTTATATACTAACCGTGATAGGCGATTCTGGATGAGCTGGAACAAAACTGGTTCTAGGACGGTCCTGTGAGGGGTTGTTAATGTGTATCTTTCCCATGTAATGGAACCAATGACGGTACTCATCAGTGAATCCCACTCTAGTCGAGTCAAACAAATATAATTTTTGCCATCAATCCTCCCATTATGCAATAAAGTCAGCACTGTTCCGTGGTCAGATAGCATGGTGACAGTCGTTATGAATCACCGGGTCTGGTATATCCTGGACTACACCGAATTAACGATAAAATCTTTCAGGATAGTATGCCTCAAAATATGAACAATAAATAAGTGGAACTCTAGTTGACCATAGTTCAAATGCATCAGTGCAAAATGGTGGAAGACTAATATATATACAAAGGGAGATTTCAACAAATATGACTTAATCATACTAATTTTCCAAAATTAAGACTATAGATTAGGGTAAGACTTAAGTACAGGAGCTTTGACCAAATTGCCATTCATTTTAAAACCTTGATCCGTAGCCCCACACCCCCAGCCGCTGCATCCTCCGCAGAGCTACTGTCATCGCCACCTCCATGGAGCCGCCGCCGTCGCCGTCACGGAGCCACCGCCGTCGTTAGGGAGCCGTCGCTGCTGTCACCGTCAGGGAGCCGCCGTCACTGTTAGGGAGCCGCCGTCTAGTGAATCTGCCCGTACCGTCCTATTTTACAGCCTCGTCCAGTGAATCTGCCTGCACCTCAGGCGAGTCTGTCACAGGCCTCCAACGAGGCCACACTTCTGTCCTCCGGCAAAGCTGCTGCAGCCGTGCTCCGGCGAGGTCACTGCCGCAGACACGCTCTGCCATGCTTTTACCCAAATCCAAAATCAAACTTGCAAACACTAAACATTAAGTAGTCAGTAAACAGACAATAATTTCGAATAATAACTCAATATCAGGCAATACATAGACAATAAGTAGACAATAAATAAACAATAAATTTTGATAACAATAATTTGATTGCAGAGCAGGAAAGAAAAGAGATGGTTCGAAGTTTGTAGTGATGAAACTGCTTTGAGAGGTCGTCAAGAGGCATGGCGGCAGCGGCGGAGGAGATTGAGGGGGAGGTCGCCGGCGGAGTTGAACCGCGACTTGGACGGTGAGGCAAGGCAGAGATCTGGACGGCGAGGCGAGGTGGAGATCTGGACGGTGAGGCGAGGCGAGGCGGAGATCTGGAGGAGAGGCAACGCGGAACAACGACCGGTACGGCAATAACGGCTTGGGATGGTGAGGCGGAGTGGCGATGAAGATAACCTCTTTGCAGATGAACGGGAGTAAAGCCTGAAGGGCAAATTTGGAAAGTTAGAAATAGATTCCTTAATCTAGAACTAAATAGGTAATATGAATGGAAAAAACATTAGCACATATTATTTTTGTAAAAGAACTATGATTTGGTCTTATTAGGAGCAAATTTCTCATATACAAAAGTGGGGTAAAAAAGTGTTCCATATTAGTAATATATATATATATATATATATATATATATATATATATATATATATAATAGTTCATTAAATAAATTTAAAATTTACCTCCCACTCCCTTAATCGGTCAACTTGGTCCCTATAAATGCGTACAGTGAATCTGCTAGTGTCCGACCAGTTATGCCAACAAGCCCACCTATATTTAACGACTTATAAGATAAGTCATAAAAACCATAAGAGATTATAATGTAAATTGCCGATGTCAATGAAGTTTATCTAACACCGTAGGGCAAATCGAATAAGTGTTCCGGTGGAAGAACCCCTTGGGGTCAAACCATCGGCAACCTCTCCCATGCTCAGAGTTGTAGAAGGACTAAACATCCTCCCACCGAAACTTTGTCCGCCTTTGCCGCTTCAATTAAACAACACTACTTATAATACAATTTGTAATACAAAAAATACACCTAATTAAACAACCACACTAATGTTTCAATTAACTAGAGATCATGTATTTCAGATTAACACAATTAAACAACAACAACACTACTATAATTCAATTAACTATAAACCTAATTTACTGCACTACTATTATTTCAATTAAACAATGCTACGTGTATTTCAAAAAAAATACACTTACTTAAAAATAAGGTTAACATGCACATTACTAAATTTACACATACATATTCGGTAAATTAAAACTAATATTTCCTATTTTGTAAATAAATCAATATTTGGTAAGTTTCCTATTTCACTTTTTTTGATAGGTTCCTAAGTAACAATTAAAAATTAACACTATTATAGACTAATTTCATTCCTAAGTAACATAATTAAATTAATAACTAAATTAAACTAAAAAAGATTAAGGAGATAGCCGAAATTCTGAGAAGAGATAAATTGGAGCGATTAGATGTGTTGTGAAGGGTGATTTGTGGTGGATTTTATAGAGCAAATTCGCCAAATATGTGCGAATAATTGGAGATCCGAGCCAACTTATTCTGACCAATAGGAGAATAGACATATTCACCAAATATGTTGAGCAATATATTAATTAGATTCACCAAATCTGCTTAAGTAGAAGTCACTCCACGCCATTCGCTTAGCGATCCAAGATGGCAATCAACACCCAATGTTTTTGGCCAATAGGAAGCCGGACATATTCACCAAATATGTTCAAAAATATATTTATTTAATGCGTACGTATTCACCAAATCTGCTCAAGTAAAAGCTGATCCACACCCTTCAAATGACCAATAGGAAGCCAGACATATTCATCAAATATGTTCACAAATATATTTATTTAATATGTACGTATTCATCAAATCTGCTCAAGTAAAAGCCAATCTACACCCTTCAAATGGCAATCCAAGATGGTGATCCGCGCCCAATATTATTGGCCAATAGGAAGACGGACATATTCACCAAATATGTTCAAGTACATATTTTTTTGTTTTTGCAAATACTGAACATATTTGCCAAATATGTTTCCGCTTCTCAAATAATAATTTGGTCAAACCTACACTTTTTGGAAACACCTACCACCAAACATGCTCTGTTCCGTCAATTACCCTATTTGTATATCAGTATCGACATTGGCGGACCCAGAAATTTTTCAGAGTAGGGGCACACTAGTAGTTAAATTCTTAGTCAGAAATGAGGCACTGATTTTACTCTAAGTACTAGTAGTGAAATTACCGACCGAAAGCGGAGGCACTTGCCCCCCTAGGCCCCTCCCTAGGTTCTCCGGAGAGTATCGAGGTAGAGTCTCATTTTTCATGTTTTATAATTATAAATGATTAATAAAATGTTGGGCTCTAATTACAAACCTTGCTTATTGAAATCGTCTTCGAATTAAAACCGCTCAATTCTACTTTTTCTAATAACCTACTTTCTTCTTCGACCTTACTGGAAACTCGACCGCATTGGAAATCTCTCTTCAACTACCAACTTTCATACTGTCATAGACATACTAATACACAAAATTAGCTTCATAGGTTGAGGCTCGCAGTCATGGTGGGTGGTAACCCTAAAAGACACCCTTCTTCATCCTCTGCAACTTCACGCCGCAGATTCCCCCGGAATGCCCTAAAGAATCACCGATCATCCAATTCTAAACCCTCTGCGTTCGGGTCTCGTTCTGGGGAAACTGAATCCAACCTCTCTCCGGAGCCTGGTATACCCAGTGCCCAAACCACCCCTCATACCCCTAAGCTTAGACCTGTTAACTCCCCAAGACCCGACGAAGGCATACAATCTGCTCTACCTTCGCTCCGTTTCCTTGACCCGCGTCAAACGCCTCCTGCTCCTGCCCCCGTCTATGGGATTCAGATGCTCGAACGCAGGACACTCGTCCTTGCGGATGGTTCAGTGAGGACATACTTCGCTTTACCCCAAAATTATCGTGACTTTTCACCGTTACCACGGACGGAAATTCATCGTCCGCAACCAGGGTTTGATAGGCAGTTCCAATCGAGTCCAGATTTACACCCCGAGTACTGCGGTGATCTGGCTTTACATAGCAGGAATCAAAATTTTAGGGATTCACCTCGCTTAGATTGGCAGGATGGTGGGCAAGTACTGATGCCAGGGAACGACAATTCAATAAAAAGGAAGTATTTGGATGACAAAAGAGAAGACAATGATAGTTTGTCTAGGAGAAGGCAGAAGCTTTTGCAGCTCGCAAATGGAGATAATGGTTCACCTGGAATTAGTGGGTCGCATATGGGTAAAGGTCCAGAGGAATTTATAACTGCCGAACAGAGTGCCCACCCTCTTAAACACCACGAGGTTGATCAAAAAGCCTTGAAGAAAGCATTTTTGCATTTTGCAAAGGCAGTATATGAAGGTGCAAAGCTGAAAAATCGTTACTTGGCCAATGGAAAGCAAGGGTATCTTCAATGTACTGTTTGTGACAGGTCTGGGAATAAATCATGGTCACTCTGTTATGATAACTTCTGTTTGACAGCTTTTGATATTCTTTGTATATGGGATTCATTTGTTTTATTGAGGTGTCATTGATTTGGTGGTTGATGACTTGATGCCATACATTTTACAATATTAGGGTCAGTGGGAGTGTGAATTGCTCTATTAAGTGTTGCTCATTTGGTTTATGTGTCTGATGTACATGAAATATACAGTATTAATCTCTAGGATCGTTTAAGGAAGGTCGAGTACCGTTGCTGCTTTTCTTTTGTGGTTATTTCCGTTGCTATCTTTACTTGTGTCATGCTTATATGTAAGAAAATTTGCTTGCATGTATGCTCCATTAGTAGCGTGTAGGTTGTGCAAACAAACAAAACAAACCCAGTGCATCCCTCATGGAAATGTGATCTGAGTAGAGAGGTTGAGCAAATGCATACTACGTAGTAAACTATCATTTTTCATAATAGGTGTGACTGTGTGAGTGTGTCTAACTCTAAAGTCCTAAATCTGCATCCCGCTTAGCAAACACCTGATGCTTTTACATCAGTGACTGTAAGTTGTAACAAAGCTTCGCCTAAGTGGTGCATGTGACCCAGAAAAATGTGCTGAGTCACATGTAGGTGCTTTCTTCACTTACGTATAATAGATGTGAAAGCTTTACTATTATATTAATTTAAAATAGGTAATGTGCTGCGTGCATAAGTGAAATTGCAGCACTTAGTTTCATCCCCTATTCCCTTTAAAATGGGTTATTCATAACTTCAATTTGGGAAAGAGTTTTTGTCACTTTTAGTTCTCCGACTATTATGTCAGCGACACTTTTGGTACCCGTCTTTGAAAATTTCCATATTTATTCCTTCAACTTTCATAAAAGTGTCTCTTTTGGTCCTTCAACTATAATAAAAATTTCCACTATGGAAGGACTAAAAGTGTCGATTTTATAATACTCAAGGGACTAAATGTGGAAAACTTTGAAGTCCAGGATAAAAAGTGTTTCTTGCACAATAGTCGAGGACTAAAAATGAAAAAAATGAAAGTCGAGTTGTGGGTTATATTATTACAATACTGTTGTGGACTCCTTTTGGGTCCACACTTATAAACGACACATAAATGGTTCAAAGGCCCAAGAGTCAACAACTGAAAGTGGCTGAAGTTGGGAATAAGGATATAGTTTCCTAATTCTAGTTAGTTTCCTAGTTCTAATATATTTCCTTATTCTAGTTACTTAATATGGCTGAACTGGGAAACAAGAATACAGTTTCCTAATTCTTATTAGTCCTGATTCTAGTTTGTTTCTAATTCTTGTTTCCTTTCCTATTTAGAACTCTAAGCAGCCTCTCTAAGTCTCTATATAAAGAGGTTTTTGGAGAATTAATTTGTGCGTCTTGACAAGGTCAGGCGCCGATTAATTTAACAAGAATAGCTTCGTTAAATTCTACTGATTCTTTGTCTCTTTCCCGATTAATATCTCGAACACATCCCTGGACTAGGGCTAGCTCTCGCCTCCTTAACAATTTGGTATCAGAGCTGGGCACGATGGGCAACGCTCCGGTGACGACAGAAGCGTTGAAGGCCTTTTTACTACAAGGCGTTGATCAACGACAACTTGATGTTGAAGAACAGTTAGCCGATATCAAGAACACGGTAACCGACTTGGCCGGACTTCCAGCAGCTTTCGCTGAGATGAGTAAAACTGTGACCAGCCTGTCAAACACTCTCAACCAATTGTTGCAGGATCCGCCATCATCCAGTCTACATGCTGGACGGCCACGGCATACTGATAACCACCAACGCGACTTTGACGATGGGATGATTCCACGGTACTCCAAGTTGGAGTTTCCCCAGTACGATGGACCAGTGATCCATTAGCGTGGCTGAAGCGGTGCGAGCGGTTCTTTGTCCAGCAGCGCATCCAACCGCAGGCACAAGTAGGGTTGGCTACTTTTCACATGACTGGTAATGCCCAACTCTGGGCAGACCAGTTAGATCCTGCAGGAGTAAGCCTTAACTGGACAGAGTTCTATATCCGTTGTTCAAAACGATTTGGGCCCCCAAGCAGCCACAACCCGGAGGGTGATCTGGTGAATTTAAAGCAAACGTCTGACTTAGAGTCTTATATTACTAAGTTTCAGCAGTTGCTAGCCCGCACAGCTGGAGTGTCGACTCGCATGCAAATCAAAATTTTTATGGCTGGACTTCGAGAGACAGTACGAGTGGAGGTTGAATACCAGGAACCCGTTGATCTTGACACAACCATGATGCTCGCCAGAAGCAGCAAGCGCAAATTCCTCGCAGCAGCAGAAGCAGCTTTCACAACGCTGAAACTCCGTTTGTCCACCACACCTGTGCTTCAGCTCCCAGATTTCACTAAACCTTTCGTTGTGGAATGTGATGCTTCTGGGAGTGGCATAGGGGCTGTTTTGCAGCAAGAAGGGCACCCAATAGCTTATTTCAGCCGTAAAATTGCAGACCGCCATGTGAAATTAGCCGCATATGAACGGGAACTCATCGGTTTGGCTAAAGCAGTGACTCACTGGCGGCCTTATTTGTGGGGTCAAGAATTTCTCATCCGCACCTACCACTCCAGTTTAAAACATTTATTGGACCAGCGTTTGACACTTTGACTACGTCCCCCCAACAACACTGGCTCAGCAAGTTAATGGGATTTAACTTTCGTGTTGAATACAAACCAGGACGCCTTAACACCATTGCTGATGCTCTATCTCGACGTGACGGATTGGAGCCTGTTGTGGCAGCTCTCACAATTCCATTTACCACCTTGTTGGACGAGATTCGAACGATACAATCACAGTCTACAGAAATTCAGGATATTAAAAGCCAAATTCTAGCCGGTAATCGCACTCCTGAATGGACCTCGCATGATGGGCTGGTTTATTTCAAGCACAAACTATTCCTGCTACCCGACTCCACAATAATACCTACCCTTTTATCCGTCTTCCACGAGATGGCACATGAAGGCATCACAAAAACTCTCCAACGTTTGCGGCGTGAATTTTATTGGACAGGCATGAAAAATTCAGTGGCAAATTATATCCGCGATTGTCAAACATGTCAACAACACAAGTGGTTAAACTTACAACCGGCAGGATTACTCCAACCGTTGCCCATCCCGGAACACATCTGGTCCGATATCTCAATGGATTTCGTGGAAGGCTTACCGAAGGTTCACGGCAAGTCCACAATCCTGGTGGTCGTCGACAGATTGTCAAAAGCAGCGCATTTTATTCCTTTAAGCCATCCCTTCACTGTTGTCTCGGTGGCAGGGATCTTTTTTGCTGAAATCGTCAGACTCCACGGACTCCCAGAATCCATTGTCTCAGACAGAGATAAAATCTTTGTGAGTAACTTTTGGCGGGAGTTATTTCGTTTGTCAGGAACTAAACTTGCTTTTTCTTCGGCCTACCATCCTCAAACAGATGGCCAGTCAGAAATTGTCAATCGCACGGTAGAAATGTTCTTGCGTTGCCTAACTAGCGCACACCCTCGCGAGTGGGTTCGTTGGCTTCCATGGGTGGAGTACTGTTACAACACTTCTTACCACACCACTTTGGGTGACACCCCTTTCCGTTTAGTTTATGGACGAGATCCCCCCAAACTGTCGACATATACTCCTGGAACAGCTAAGTT